AGAACTTGTGGCTGTCACGGATGGTTGTTCAACTAGAATTAAAACAAAACGATAAATCAGTCACTCCAGAATTTCTTATTCAACCATCAATCAATTAATTTATTATATCCATTTTTAAATTTCTTGTGATCCTTGCAGTCTGATTAGCTTTCATCAATGCAATGTATTCACGAATGGTACCACTTTTTGCTCTAAATCGTATCATTTTCCCGGCCAATGAGGAAGCTTTATTAAAACACAATAACCATCATATTTCGAGACTTTTTTAAAAGTAACCAATCAAATTGCAGGAAAAGGAACAACTTTTACAACTTATAACAAATTAGCTCAATACTGGAACATCAAAGCATTCGTAAAGACTACAAAAAAAGACTATTTGTCCGACTGAATTTAGCGATTTCAAAATGGATGTAATAAAATGATACTAAACTTCGTGTCGTGCAATTTTGGTCCGAATTCATACTCGTAATTTCAAATCACACGTATTAGACCAAATTACACTCCACTCAGTTCAATTTCTTTTATTAATCATTCAATCAAGTTATAAATATTTATTACCATAAAGATCAATACCACTATTTTTCATAACCAGCAAACCTACCCGCGCAGGACTGTTCACCGTCTCCTGTATATCCAGGTTGGCAAATACAGTCATATGAGCCAATCACATTTACACATTGAGCAAACTCGTGGCAAGAGTAAGAACCCGTTTGACATTCATCCACATCTACATTTGCTAACAACAAATAATGACAGCTTAAGTCAAATTAAGATTTTAATTGGTCAGTATTATGCTTTATCCATCAACGTGTCACTTGGCCCTCTGAGTAAGATTGAAATGTATTCAGTTGTTCAGTTCTAATAATTATCATGATTATCTACAGAGACACGGATTTCTTAAGAAAACATGATGAAAAAAGAATAACAAATTAACAAATAAATGGTTATGATATTAATTATAATGATATTGAAGGAAGATACGAACTTAACGCACAAGTACCGCCGCTAATTTAATATTCGGTAAGTTCGGTGCAAAGAAAGATTGCTTTTTTCTAAGATGATTATTCCCATTTCTGTTGATATTAGGAGACATAGATTGATCTGCTTCAAAGAAGTCACGAAAAGAAAACTTAAAAAGTGAAATATAGGAAGTCTGGCTATTCAAAATAGCCCAGTCTATATCAAACAGACATTTACTACAACGAGCTGCTTTATTCACGGCTTCCTATTTACCCATGTTAATTACTACAGATTTCCAACCTGAAGAATTGCGCCAAGGATTGATATTTGTCACCTAGTTTTAAATGATCAATTAAACATCATAGTTGCCAGAAGAAGGATCTGCTAAGCCACTGATAATAGTTGTGTTTTGTTCAGCTTAGTTCAAAACTGAATGAAGTGTATTAGAAAGGATTTTGATTAGTGGTTATCGTACTTGACGCATTACTTTGTTATGATTGTAAATAACCCACGTTGTTCTCAAATTGCTGCATTCCAACTAAGAGCAAAGAGCAGAACTCGAACCTTAAAAATCTGACACACCTGTGCAGAAGTGTTTTCCGTCACCAACATAGCCAGCTTGACAGGTGCAGTGGTAGGATCCGATATCATTGACACAGTTCGCTTGTGCATGGCAGGTAAATGAGCCTGACAGACACTCATCAACATCTGTTTTAATATGAAATGAATCTCGGTCACGTCAGAGACATTCATTGATGTTGAGGAAATACGGCTTTGTGGATAAACAAATGTCAAACTGAGTGACTAGTCTCCAAATAGTCATGAAAAAAACCACATATCTCAATGTTATCATTACATACATACATACACACGTACGTACGTACATACATACATACATACATAAACTTTATTTAAACACAAATTTGAGTGTAGCTAAAAAAGGCTGAAACAAAGGTCAAACTAAGTGACAAGTCTCCTAATAGTCATGAAAAAAAAAACACGTATCTCAATGTTACAATGACATGCACACATGCATACATAAACTTTATTTAAATACAAATTTGAGTGTAGCTAAAAAAGCTAATGTCTTCGTGTTGCGTGTAATAGGTACAAATTCTAATAAGAATATAAAATTTACATGCCAATCAAATAAGACATTATTCAAGTATAAAATAAAATAAAATTGTTATCATTGTTTTTTTTTTCCGGTACCTAAGCAATCGTGCATTCCGTTTCCAGTATAACCAGGGAGGCAGCTACAATCATAGGAACCATCTGTATTCACGCACTCAGCTTGCGCATGACAGGAAAAAGACCCGGTCTGACACTCATTGACATCTGTTACATTTGTATATGTAAGCAAAAGGGATTAAGATTACTGAGCATGGTTGCAAACGCACTTTAACGAACGTCGATAATAATAGCTGACACCTCTCGTTTTGCCATGATTATAATTAATCTAAGGCAAATCTCTGAATCTTCAGTAGAAGTGTGACTACAATCCCTAGTTAAAAAACTATTGAGAGGAACTTGAAAAATGGTTTTCCATTAATTAGCCTAGAGACATTTTCTTAAACTGAAGGAAAAATCTCAGTTTCATTGTGGTTCAAATCTTAGGCCCGGCCCGTTTAGATCGAATAATGTGCCTCAGCGCTCTCTTAGAGCCGCAGAATTTTCTTCCATGGGGATACTACAGTTATACGGGATGATTTATGATGACGGACGTCAGCAGTGAGTCGATAGCATGATCTGCTGTTTAAAAGTAGGATAACAAACGAGATTCCATTATCAATCAAGGAAAGCTTGAAAAAAGTAAGACTAGATGCAAAATCACAGAGACTTTTTATATACCTGGACATGTTTACAGGCCGGGGAATCACTGTGTACAGAGCACGTGCACGGCATCCTGATGACCAGTCACGTTGGAAAAATGTGGCTATGGACATTATTAAACTATTCATTTTACAGTCCATACTACCGTGAAAAACTAAAATTATGTGAAATTTAGGTGTGATTACCTGAGCAAGTGTACTGACCGTCTCCTTCATATCCATTGCGACATCTACAGTCATAGGAGCCATACACGTTAACACAGTCAGCTAACGCATGGCAGGAGTATGCTGCTGACTGACACTCATCCACATCTAGAAATATAAAGGTATATATTTAAAAAGGGCAAAAAAGTCATGCGAATAAAGAGCGATATCCCTTGATGTAAAACTGTGGGAGTGGGGCATCACTAAATGTTTCCTATTGTTGACGTTCATTCACATACCTGAACAAGAAGTGCTTCCATCTCCAGTGTAACCATTTAAGCACGTACAATCATAAGATCCTTGCAAATTCACACACTGGCCATGCGAATGACACGAATATGACCCTGTTTCACATTCATCAACATCTGAAATAGAGGTAAAAGCGCTAAGATTTAAGGAAGGGGAACACAGACAAAACTTTTAATATATTTTGTGAATTGAAATCAAAATAGCGAAATGTTTTGATACCGTTGAAATTCCTCAGTTCGGTGATTCACTTAGTTGAAATCAGTTAGTGACTGGGAATAACACACTTGAGGTATATGATGGTAGGTAGTTCATGACAAATGTGTTTTTGCATTTCAGGTTTTTTTTCCTGATTTTGTTAGAAACACCTCTGCACTATTAGCATGAAAATGCCTACTCCACAAAAGTAAATATATTGCCTCTTGGATTCCGGTAAACGTTCACAAAATTTCAATTTGATGTTAACGCTACGGTAATTATAGGTGTTTTTTAATTGAATTTATAGGCTTTTACCTGAACATGAGAGCAGGCCATCTCCTTGGTATCCAGCCACACATGTACAAGCATAAGAACCATAAGCATTTACACATTGTGCACGTGGATGGCAAGAATATGATCCCGTCAGGCACTCGTCGACATCTGTTGACATTCATGCATAAGACTTGATTCCAGAATTGCCTTGCAAATTGCGCCAAGCTCTTATTTTTTTGTTGATTTTGAGACAATTTGTACACGCTTGGAACAAAATTTATGACAGCCCCCTCGGACTCGCCCCAATTCCACCCAACTACCTTCATAATTCTAAAAGCACCTGAGAAAGCCCTGAATAACTCTATTTATAACTTGATGAGACTAGATAAGGGGATATCCCTCGGGGAATTTTAACTGCCCACATGCAGCGAAAAAAAAAGCAACAATAACTGAATAAAAACAGTGGTAGAAGCAAGATTGCAAACCTATTTCATTTTTTTTTTGTTTGCTTCCTTTTTGTTTATGGAACTGTGGGGTTCTTTTTATTATTATAAATTTTCATAATTGACACATGAGCATTTTCCTCTAGAGAATCTTGGCGAAAAGAGAAAGAGATGGCAAAAGAGAGAGATAAGGACATATATCTGTATCCACACTGGTACTATATACCTGAGCAAGCATGGCGACCATCTCCTGCATACCCGGGCAAACATCTGCAATCATAGGAGCCTACAACGTTCACACACAGACCTTGCGCATGACAGACATAAGAGCCAGACTGACACTCGTCGACATCTGTTAGATATTCATATTTAAAGTTCGTCAGAAAATAACACACATTTTCCATTGTATGCAATTTAGCGCAGGACCACAGGATATAAGTTCAGCTTCAGATGGTTTCGAATTTTATATTACGGTTTAGCATGGTAGCTTGTCAACCATCTTGTTTCTCACGAGGAAAAAATTTATTTTCAGTTTATACCTTAACGAGTAGAGTCTTAGCACAGGCTCTCTTCGAGGGTTTTGCGTTTAAAAAATAGCGCGCTCCTTAAAGAATGCATGTGATTCCATGATATCTTCATATGGCACCAGGAAGGAGTTATGAGCTAACTGACTCGTCATAGAATTCACAGAAAAGTCAAAACAATTATTTAGGTTCAATGATTGAATTAATTTGGTCAAGTATACGTACCTGAACAAATGTGAAATTCGTTCTCTGAATAACCTGGCAAGCATTGACAGTGGTACGAACCAATCACATTGACGCAGTGGGATTGCAAATCACATGAATATGACCCTGACAGACACTCGTCAACGTCTTTCCAAAAAAGAGGAATAATAATAATTCGTTACATGTCACTCCCAAGAAGAAAATCTATGCGACAGAATCACACACGGAGTATGAAGAATGGTGATATTCAAACCTTGACACGAATGGTAGCCATCTCCATTATATCCCGCTGAACATCTACATTCGAAGGAGCCAGGCACGTTAACACAGTCAGCTTGCGCATGACATGAGTATGAGCCTGACGAACATTCATCTTCGTCTATAGGAAAAGTATATAAATCATTGAAAAGATAAATGAATGCAAAAATGAATATTTAAAAATAGCTATAAGGTAAATGTGGAATCCATGGAGCTATTAATTTGGGCCCCAGAAATGGCTGCACACAACTTTTGAATACTGGAATTTGTTAAGGAGTTTTCTCGACACGTCTGCCATCCGGCTTCTTCTTGGAATAAAAGACCTTACAAGAAAAGTCATAATTGCACACCGCCTAATGAAACCTATTATACCGTTTTCATTGTTTTTCCTCATTCCTTTGCTTTTCACCCTCTATTTTTTAAAGTCAACTGTGATTTCTTCACCAAGAAAGAGCGCGTTAACAAAAATATAAAGTGTCCATCTTTTATTTAATTGATGCCCAAAGCATGACCTGGCGAACAAACCTTCACAGACGTCTCCACTCAGGCGGTAGCCAACAGGGCATTCACAGGAATAAGATCCATAATTGTTGACACAATACGCATGCACTGGACAATAATCTGGAAAGTCCCTACACTCGTCATAGTCTAAAATAAAACAACGGAAATCAAATAAACACTAAAAACAACAGAAGAAGAAAATACATCGAACGCGAACGAAGCACATATATATTACCATGTGGTATTGATTAATCGAAAAGTTGTTGCAGTGCAAAACACACCAGAGCACTTCAAGAACTACAAAAACGCAAGGTTAGACAATGCAGGGCTGGTGGAAATAGATTCCACCTGCTGGACTTCTCTTTTAGTGATCAATCTTCCCTTTTTCGAAACTCTTTCACCTGGGATATCAGGGAAAGTAAGAAACAGAAGCGCAAAAGCGTAAAGGCGCAGAAACAACCTACAATCTGGCTGCATTAATACGGAGCCAAATGCAGCCAAGAACTATTTGTTGCAATGCTTTATAGACCTGGACTGAAACTAATCGAACGTAAGCACAGCACAGACGAAAGGAATAAAGAAAGTCACACCTTTCTTGCATGTAAACCCATAACAATCTAAGCAATTTACATCGTTCCATTGGAACTTATGGAGAAAGCCAAGAGCATGAACACAGTCCTGGTTGTGAATATTATTCGGTTGGCCGTCAGCCCAGTGATGGAAATCTAGAGCAGTTCGATCGCTCCACACGAATGAACCTTCGTCGTTGATGTCCGAAAGGCCCAACCACGAATGACGACTGCCATGTAGACTTTGCACAAACACATTTTCCTCATGGCTGTGGATACTTGGGAGATTGGCTGCTAACGAAGCGCATGTTCTTTGGCTATCACTCCAAGAATCGCAAGAGGAGACTTTCCGGTAGCAATACCCATTGTTATAGATCCAGTCATCTTCGCAAATGTCTTTGAGCAAAAAAAATCATAAAATCATAAACAGAGGTTACGAGAAAGTTTGTTGAAAAATGATGATTACATTTATCATAAAATAAAATAAAATGTCTTAAAGAAATCTTACCAGACTCGAATCTACATATTATAATGAGATGCAAACATTCTTAATGCGCATTGTTGTGGTTCTCGGTCAAGAACAGGAGCCGTAAGAACACACAAGTTTATTACAAAGCACACAGAACAGAACTTAGGAAACTTAATCACACCACCAGTGAATAATTATTATTAGGTGCCCATTTTCCTATACAGTGGCTTAGCTACTAGTAATGTGGTAACCGTTGGCCGTAATATTGGTAATATCACGACACGGATGATTAAACAAAGACACTCCGGTATCACCTTCGATATGCAACGGGAGTAAGCAGCAAATTATAAATTTTTAACCTTTATTTAACGTTATTGTCAATATCTATTGGTGTAGTTTTGTTCTTTAGTAGAAACTACCGAGAATGTCTGTAAATCCAATTAATTTTCCATTAGAAGAAATGAAATTACTTACTAGTTTAACTAACCAAAAACCTCGCAAGTAAATAAAGAAGTCATATCTGGGAAACGCTAAATCATGCTGACAAGTTGGCGTCAATATTGTTTTATTTGACGCGGATAACTTGCTTTTATGGGGAAAACTTCCATCGAGGCGAAACCACCAGTAGCCAAAAGTACATCAAAATGCAAGAATTAAACTATGATAATAAATTCAATTACCTGTCAACACAGCATATGATACAACCAGTGGATCAAAGCCTTGAACAAACAGTTCCTTAACACAAACTCGTATGCTTGACTCGGTAATGAACTGTATTACAGAAAAGACACGTTAAGAAATGGATGCTGAGAGGATTCTGAACGTCGCGAAAAATGTTCACGTTGTACAGCAAAGGCAAGGCGCGTGTTAAAAGAAACTACACTGGGTTGAAAAGGATTGAAAAGGTCACTTGATAAAACCAAATTATTTTGTTCATTCTTAACCTAATCTAATACGAAACATCCCTTTCAGTAACTCACATATTTCACTCTTTTATTTGGTGCCATATGAAAATTTGACTCTTTCATTCTTTACTTTCGTATTTGCTTCACCTTGTCACTTCTCAGATTTGTTGCCTGCGTCGTTACCGCTTTCCGTCTTCAAGTAGTTTTGGTTCAGTATTTCAACTTTTCTTTTTTACGATATATTTTGCAAAAAGCATTAGTAAGACAAGAAGACCCCGTACGTTAGAGACTATACTCAGTAAAAAGCCCTGGTTTCTATGGAAAGCTTTTTTCTTCGTTGTTTTCTTTTACCTATAGGTATGCACGATGAGAAACGGGGTTCTACAAGGATATCTCTGAGTGGAGCACAACTGAAAGCTTCGAAATGAAAAACAGTGTCATTTTTGCCTCGCGTATCTTTCCAGGGAGAATTGCGGTGATCACTCCGTTCCCTTGACTAGGAAAATCAAATGAAACGGCGGTCACACTTGCAAGCAAGTGTTATTTTAATACCTCAATCCAGTTAGCAATTCCATTGCATTCTGCGGCAGTGTCTCCTACATTTCTGGGGTGTGTTGCTGTAATCAAAACAGTCGGTGGTTTACTATAGTTTTTAATAAGGGTTGCCTCCTGTTGATCAAAAAATCCTTTCAGGACACATTCGTTTAAAACGTACAAAGTAGGTGTGAAGTAAGTTCAATTTTTTTAGATTTTATCGTCAGCTTACGGATTTTAGCCACAAATTTGTTGCAAAAATATGATCAAAAACTGCACACATAAACATGGTGGCAAAAGCCTCTTTTTTCCTGCCTGGTAGTTATGGTTTTAGCCCCTCCCCCCCCCCCCCCCCTTAAAAAAAGGTTAGTCTCTATGATTTATCAAACCGCGTCACTAGAGTTAAAAATGATGGGTGGGAAGGAGGGTAAAGGAGGCTCAGTAAGCCAATGATTCCTTGCCAATGTAGGTTGAGTTAGTGCCCTTTTAAGCTCTGAAGATCAGAGATTGTTGGGCTCTTCAATTCCTCCGAAGGTACAGCCACATTAGGCTTGAAAATTTTTCAGTCCGTTTGCTACTAACCTTAATTGCGGGAGATCCCCGCGGTATATAACACTGACCTCAAAAACTTTATTAGTTATGAAAATACTTTACCATTCATATGCGTCTTATTTTTACCTGACAAAAAGCGAAGTTGTGATCTGCCGATGGTAAACCGCCATTGGGGAAGGTTATACTGCCGTGCTCCTTAAAAAATGGCTTAGGGCAATGCTGAAAGACTAGCCAATGCTGCGAAGGAGTAGTACAAATATGAACCTGATGTGCACCTTTTAGCAACATAAAAATGTCTTAATGCAGGACACGAAATGTCCTCTTTTTTTTGGCGTAATTTGAGCAGTTAGCTGGTTGTTTTGGTAGAGTTTGGTTTGGTTAAGTGAAAATCATCCTCTTATGCGAAAGGGCAGTGATGAAATGAAACATGTTAGCATGAATAACTCAGTCAAAACGTCCGGTACAAGAGCAAACCGCCTTCGAACGTGTGATATTGACTACTATTCGTCAAGAAGAGTTTCTAAATTTTCACATACTCAATTCTTTCCCCGCTTCCACGTGGATGTAAAACAAAAACAACGTTCAAATAGCTTTTATATAGTTTACCACTGAGATATCATCGTGAACTCCAGCAAAGTTTTGAAGCTCCGTGAGGCAAATCCTGAAAAAGCTAGTTGAAACATCTTCAAGCCAAACACTTGCAGCATCGTGCATTAATCCTGACCTGTAATGCTGAGCTGTTACAAGAACCGTTGGTGGATCAGAATATTCTTCCTATTAAGAGTTGGAAAGAAATGTAAAGTTTTATTCTCAAGATAAGATATTTGAATGACATCGTAATCAGATAGCATTTTCACCCCTCGCTTTTAAAGCACGAATTTGAGATCCGCAGGCGTTACACAGCTCCGCTCTGGACACTCACCGCAGGAAGAGTGACTCTTTGACAAGTAGTTCTAGTCCACCATCTGGAGAACTTCTCTTCTCCCGTTATTCCACCAGGCGGGGCACCTTGATAAGCAATCCAATCTACTGTAGCGAAACTGTTCGACGGATTGTCATTCCTACCAGCGCGAGTAACACAGGCTGTAAACTGGGTGGTATTTAAGTTCTCAACCCAAGATATAGTGGCTTCGTGAACAAACGTGTTATTAGAATAATTAAAGTGGTTAACGGTGAGTTGAATGTATATTTTGCTGTGGGGGTAAAACACAAATTGCTCAAATTTGATAATGTCACATTGATCTTCTGCCCAGGAAGGAACATTTTGGAACTGGTGCCTTCCTTTCTGGTACGGAAAACCTGCAATGAAACATAAAACACAACTAGCGCCTTTAAAAATTAAGATGGTTAGGGGTATTGTTTGTTTAAATCAATACTTAAGGTATTCTTGACGGGTGGATGCTCTCGCATTTCTCTTATCTACCAAATTATGCCTGCAGTGAAAACAATGCTACTTCGTAAATGTATGTGTGTCTGCGTGTTTGTATCTTTGTCTATATTACTTTTCGTCTGCCTGTCTTTAAGCCTTTACGCTTGATGGAAACTGTGGATGAAACAGTAATCAAACTTTAAAAGGTTGAAGCTTATTTATTTGAGATACCTGTGCAGCTCCCGGGATGATAGACAGTATAATTCGCTTTTGTTTCACATATCTCTTTTTTCAGCGTGCATAGATTCCTGAACGTCCGGCCATTAGAAGCACAGACTTGTTCTTCGTACGGTGGGCAGCTGCTGTTACAAACGCATGTAAATTGATGCGATGACAGGGGAACACAGTGCGCGAAGTAGTCGCAGCTCTTATTTGTGCACGGGTTAATATCTACAAAAGTAAAAAAAAGCAGAACTTTTTAGCTTAGCAAGAACAGCGTCCGCAGCGAGTACCTGAAGGTCAGAAATTCTCGAGAGCACAATGTTAATGTACTGCACAATCGGCAATGGTAAATTATTTATCTCAAAATGCAGCATTTGTGAAATTCTCTTAGAAATACCTCCTAAAGCCAAGTAGTTTACAGTAATGTTGTTTCTCTGAACGTTAAAGCCCGAGTCATCTTTGGTGCACACTCGAAAGTGATGGTTGGTAACTTCCTTGAATGGGACAAAATATGAAAAGGTCACAATTTCATTTATTTAACGAATTATTTTGAATCCAATTGAGATAAATAGAGCATGAAAGTAATGAAAACAAATTTTCTAGAGAAATAGTTAACAGGCGCAAAAAAATAAGAAGAAAAGAACCTTCTTGCTCAGAGAGATTACCTTGACATTATTCTATAAAGGCAACTTTACCTCTAACCAAACAATAATCGATTTTCTCATCGAGCACATGCTGTTGTCGTCGCTTCTCTGACGCTCATTACCACAAGCAGTTGAGAGTACAACTGGTGGTGTGTAAAACGAAGTCGGAAAGCGCTCAATCTGAAAGATACAAGCAGTAGCAAACTCTTCGTTGCTTTGATTTGAAAGGTTGCCAATACAGGGAAGAAACGAAGAAAAAGCCAGATAAATGAATAGGAAACTTAACTCGCATTGATGGATAAAACAGACGAAAATATCAGTATAAACTAGAAATGTGATGTTTTTTAAAGCCACCTCATCTCCTTATTGAAAAAATTAAGACAAAAACAGTTTAATTTATAGAAGAGCAATAAAAAAACTTAATTTGGCAAGAATACCTTGCACAGCGCGTAGTTTGTTTCTTCAGTCGGTACTTCATCCTCAAAAAACATGACTTGTGCTGACAGTTTTTCTCGCCATGACGACGGGTGATTATATTCATATGCCATCCAGTTCTAGCCAATGAGGTTAAAAATATAAGCGTCACAAAAACTTGGCTGATATCCAATATTCATTTAGATATAGGATAATAATCGTGATAATAATCGAATAATTTTGATAATGATGACGACGATGATGATGATGATGATTTTTTTCATCATTATATTAATAATTATTAAAAAAATAACGAGAAGGGTAATGATAAGGACACACGAATAACCCAAGTCGTAATTAGCAAAATACATGTTGCTACATTATTATGTTTAAAATAGGCTAAGAACATATTGCTCACCACCGTTAAGTTTCTATGAAGTCCTTCGAATTTCCTTGATTCCTTTAAACAGACTTCAAATTGACTCGTGGATATGCTTTCTAACCACACAATTGTTGCGTCTTTCCTTTGGTTTGGAGTATTATGAATAGCTGTCACGTGAACTTGGGGCACCAATGAAAATGCCTATATGAGGTAAATCGCATAAACATTAAATTTTTTTCAAGGGAGGAAAAAAAGTCCTGTACTGAACTGTTTTTGCTTTTCTTCACCTTGTGACTGGTCTATAAAGATTGCGTCAGCTATTCGACTACCCAATAATCGCAACTTACCCCAGCGCGTTTACCCACGCCCCAAGGGGGTTGTGTTTTTAATTCAGTTACAGAAAGCTTTCATTATAACCCATACATTTCTATCTATTTGTAATGCGCACTCAAATTTGTCCTCTGACTACAACATGGTTTATTTTGCTTGATCTCCCAATAGTTTTTATTATAATCCTTCAATTGTTTTTGCTTTTGCGCCGTTGGTCTCGACGCATCACGTCCCCAAGGGAAAGCTCATATCTCACAATTTTCCACGAGCTTTGCTCCTGGAAAATTGTTCGCATCTCAGAACAGGTAATGCCCACGTACAAACACCCGATCATATTTTCGCCCCAAGTGGAGGCTATTGATCACATATTATTATTCCAAGGTGGAGAGAGGTATCACGAGAGTAAAGATCTCGCCTGAAGTAACGCCACGTTCGCCCTTTTGTGGGAAATGATTGTGCTCTATTGGCTGGACAGCGTCAGGCATCTCGGTAACTAGTATGCTCTATGTTTCATAGTCAAGTTGAACCAAAATACTGCAAACTGTTTTGAATTCATTTACTAGCTTACAACAACTAATACAACTAGAACGGCAGTATTTCAATCGAGTACGGTCGCAGAGTAAAATGTTCTCCGTACCAATACTGTTACCTCAACATTTCAATTTAGAATTTTAATATCTAATGTTATACTTTACCCGGGGAAATGTAACCAGGTTGCATTTTTTCTCCGTAGTAAATGGATCGATGCCAGTTTCACCATGATAAACTCCAGCCTGATGGCCCTGGAATGCAAACCAATCGATAGTCGTATTTCCCCCATAATCTTGACCACCTTGTACTAAGCAAGCCTTGAAATGGGTTGTCGTCACGTCTTCCACCCAAATAAACGCAAAATCGTGAACGATGGATGAACTGTGGCCGTGGTTAGCAGTAACGAACACTCGAATAGGCATATGACCGGAGAATCTGCTACTAAATGGCACATATTGGCAATGAAAACCATTTTCTCCGACCTGATGCATTTCAATTTTGCCCCTTTCGACTCCTAACCAATCAAAATTGAATTCAAAATCAAACAAGTAAATAAATAGATGAAGACATGAAGTAAGTATTGATCATGATTGTTGTCAAATTCCATTTAGAAAATAGATGTTTCTTTTCCTGGCTTTAAATCTTAGACAGGGCCACAATGGTTTCCTTTCGGGTTACCCTTCAATTTAGTTAAGTGCCGGAGATCTTAAAACTTCCCTACGCTTTGCCTGGGCCGGTCAGATTTTTTGTTTGACCTTAGCTAACACAGGCGAGCGGAAAAGAGCGTCTCGCGCTGTTTTCAGTGCCAGGAAATTACATATTTCACAGGATTTATCGGACCATGTTGTGTCTGAGTATGTAATAATAACAAAACAAAACCGGATTAAAGGCACAGGCGCAAGGTTTATTATTATAATATCCTAACAAATTCGTGCATCGATTTCTGATTGAATTTGCATTCCATATTGATCTTCGTTATTATGTTAAAAGTGTATTCCGATGTTTTCACAATTGACTGAATAATAGATGACTTCCTCTCCGTCTATAAGGAAAGAGGGCAATCCCGCGGGGAAAGAGGTCATTTTTATCAAGACAATTACAAATAGAGCTTTTTTTAGGTTATTCGCAGTGATATACATATTCGTACAGCTTTCTTTTATTATATTTTTTTTGTTAATTTGTTTATTTATTTTTAAATTTTAAAGTTTTCAAAGAAAAATTTTGCCGATGTGAAATTTTAAAGTATGCCGCTCGATCGGGAAATAAAAAGAAAAATGAGCATAGTCCAAGAAAACGGTATATTTTGAAGAGGCGATTTCCGTACCCTTAATTTCCGTGCGCGCTATTTCAATCTGTTTTCAACTCATTCTTAGGAGAGGATTTCGACAGCTAAGGATGTTCTCTAAAAATTCAAGCAAATAAAATCACTTAAGAAAGCTATGTACCTCCAGAGTCTTCGATGATGAGACAGCAGTAAACCAAAAGGAATACGCCTCTCTTTGTTAAGAAGGACATGGTTCGGTGCTTAGATGTGATCAGTACAGACCAGCGATGAAAACTGACTCAGACAAATATGAGAAAAAGTCTTTATAAGAAATGTAGCTAAATATGGAATGACAGCTGACAAATCTTGGTTCCGCAAGGAAATCATTCAAGTAATTTTTTTTCATTTATTTCTATAGTTATCATTTCCTGCCTGCCGATACTTTTGATGAACGGTTATTTTTATTTGGGTCTTATCACTACGGCAACTTTGCTCAGAAATGATCTTCGTTAAGCGATTATATGGTGATCATAAGGTTACATGGATGAACGAAGTTTCTCCGATTTTCTCTGTTCTTATGAACTCAGACATTTGAAACGTTTGGCCTGAAGTCGCACCGCTGATAGATGTCGTTTTTAAGCGAGGGCTGGTAAAATCTCAGAGATCATTTAATTATCTGTGTTGTTCCGAATTTTTATGAACGTCGCCGAGCAAGTTATGAGTATTATCGAATGGAAACGGTTGTTCGTTTTTCAGACTGAAACTAGAAATACGTTATAAGTTTGCATGTTTAATAAAATTATGAGATTAATAATAAATGATAATTGTCATGTCTGTGATTAAATAAATAAAAAATAGCGATAGAGTAGAGATAGCTACTTTTGTCAACATAAATTTAAAGTGGTTGACATAGAGACAAAGGTCACAACGAAATAACATTGCGATGGGCTGGTTATGTTATTCCGCTCCTTCTTCGTTTTCCTTTTCCTCGTAGTCTCTAATGATGCACACGCAATGAAACGCTGATCAAATTCAGGTTATTAATAAACATATCATGCGAGAAATTTGCTTCATCACTACTATTTTTTCACAGTACATAATACCTCCTTTTAAAAAATGTGATGCGTTACCAGTCACGCCAACCTCACACCCACAAGAAACTTGTTGAAGTCGTTTTAAGAGTTTGGAAGGAGTTCGAATCGCTAATGTTTTTTTCGGGAAATACAGGACGGATATCCTTTTTTTGTAAGAGAGTTATGTCTCTATATATGATAAAAAGGTAACAACTTTTCACTGAACTAGAGGTGGCTAGTGCCGGATATTTACCGAACCGCAAAGCTGCGAGGTAAATATCGGCACCACTTTCGATCAATACTGATGTGAATATTTGTTTAAGTATATACAAAAAATACAGTTCGTTCACTCAGTTTGTGAACCAAGAGCGGTTTAAAGAATATCAAAATGATGAAATGACATCGGCCGTCTAGTTATAGTAGACATAATGTGAGGCTTAAGGGGACACGCAAACGTAGTTTCTACGACCCGTCCGATATCAGCAGATCCCTTAACTGCCGACTTCCAAATGCAATGATTTCCACCGAAATTTGAAACACGGAGAACAATTAACTAGAACTCCTTCCGGTTGATTTATTTTCATGCGCAATATATTTTTTTTGTTGTCACGGTCTACATAAAACGTTCCTGAGCGACAAACTCAAAGTTTCCCCCCAAAATCAAAGCCAAGGTGAGTAAATTGGTTTGATGTAGTCATTTATGTGATGCTTATAAATTCAGTTGCGTGATGAGGTAGATAGGGACCACAAAAAGGAATAGAGAGTGAAAAAGAGTCTAAGGTAGATATCAGTATAGAGGGAGCACTGGGATTTTCGGTTTTGCGGTTTTAGCTATTTTTTAGATCGGTTTTTCGGTTTTTGTGCCGAAAAGCTTCGGTTTCTCGGTTTTGGTGTTCGTTGCGGTTTGCAGATTTTCCATATTTTAGCATTTGGCTTTCGGTTTTCGCGAAAAATATTGACGGGTTTTAGGATTTGATATTCGATGCGGTTTTCAGTTTTTTGTATTTGACCTAATTTGGTTCAGGTTTCTCTTTGATCTGAGCGGCAATTACGCGCCTCCAGAGATCTCGAATAGCAGCTAAACACAAATGTTATCGAGAGGAATGTGTGACAAACCAATTGAAATATCGCAGGGATCCCTAGGTAGCCTACGTGCAGGGGTGGGGGGGGTGGGGAGGGGAGGGTACGGCTACACGAAGGGTTATGCTAAGCGCGGAACATTGCTAGAGTTTCTTTATCAATGCCACCTCGAAGTTGGCGACCAAGTTACAGGCCACACGTGACTGATTGATTCAACATTCCAATACAATCTCCAAACTTATCAGGTCTTAGTTCGCAAATGGAAATGTTAGATTAGAGATTTTCGATGAAACTTTCCAGAGCTATAGCTTTTTGCGACTGCAAAATTGCAACCCTGTAGAGGACTTTTGTGCGAATTTCCTTAATTTAATTAGGCTCCATTACCAGCGGCTGAGTCCGCAAAGACCACGCCCGAGGTCCTCGAGAGAGCAGCTGTTAATTTAAGCAGATATTAGAGGATACGAATGCCAAGTCCATGGCATTCATAAATTCTGTAATGAAATTAGTGTAGTTAATTACTCTGTATGCTCCACTTGTCATCACTGTATCAGATCGATCAGGGTTGTAATAACTGGGATGTGAAAATGTATCGGTTTTGACAGTTTTGCACGCGGTTTTCGGTTTTGATCGAATTTTTTTTCGGTTTTTTGGTTTTGGATGATTTTTTCTACGGTTTTGTGGTTTCTAATAGGCCCCAAAGCCCCCCTCAATATAAATACATACAAATAGATGATTGGGCTTTGTACGAAAGTAATTCATTTCGGAAGAGTTCAGTCTGTCAGTGTGTCTAAGCCTAAGATGAGGCTGAATTTTCAAAAACTTCCAAATAGAATGAAAGCACCGCCTCATGTTTAAAATAAAATATGCGTTTTTTTCCGATTACAACGAACGAAAGTGATATATAGAATAGAAAATTTTAATTATCTTCTATTTGTGCCTACATTTACATGGAAAACAAAGATTTCAGTGGCTGTGAGCATTTCAGGGTAGTTCAGCACTAATATCTCCTCTATTATCTCTCGCCTTGTTCGATAGTCAGTTGGCCCTTAGAATCTATGTAGTTGTATTGCATCTTATTCTCCGAGCTATAAATTGTCAATCATAGTCTATTTTAACCTCTCACCGTTCGAAATCAGGAAGATTTACCTCTATATATAGTACCCAAAACTGTGCGTTTTTGCATCCCCGAATACTCAGCTACGACTGTAAATTGTATAGGGTATATATAGTATGATTTATTTCTATTGAATTCTAGGACCTACTGGTACAAAGGATAATATGCCATAGGTTATTCTCCGCAAAAAATGGATGAAATAAAATAAAATTTTCATAAGAATTCAAAAATGCCGTTAGATACTGATCTCTTTACACTCTCCAGCAAATCTTTCTTAAAGACGAAACATTTCGCACTTCAAACATTAAACATATAAATCTACCGGCAAATAAAACTTAATTTTCGTTTTAGTTTGTTTAAGTGATGAGCCAAATCTGCAAGGGCGAATTTCAGTAGCCAATAATCTACCTAGTATCTATCTACAAGCTTTTCAGCTGTTGTTATTAATTATAACGGAGACACCGTCTCAAATAAAGTTTGACTGCTGCTGCTATTATGACTAAAAATATTATTACCACGACCTGCACTACTATTACAGTTGACAAGATATCAAAATCATGAGTTTTCGAGGGTGTTTTGATATCAGTTGACGTTCAAATATTACATTCAACACCTGCATCCTCAGCGTGCGAGCAATAGCGAGATGAACCGTATGGACAGTCCAGCAATGATTTTTCGTCCCCTTTGCATCTGACAAGGTTTCTATGGATAGGACCGGAACCTTGACCGTAAATTGCGCTTCCACGCGCTCTGTGTGCGCCTTTGTAACCTAGCTGACGGCAGATGACTGTTGCATCATTCATGTCCCATTTGTGATCACAGATAGTTCCCCACTGCCCTCCTATTAGAACCTCTACGCGGCCATATTTTCTACCTCCGGATATCCTTACATTGGTAGAACCAAAACTGCACTTCATGCTGGCGTCTTGTTTATGAGTACAATCGTGGTCTCCCCATTTTCGTTTATTGCACTTGTGGAGATGAGTCTCACCCCCTGAGCAGCGCACGTCGTCAAGCCAGATTGGTCCACTTCCTTCGCCATGTGCAGCGCTCGTAAACGCCCTATCAGCAAGTTTGAAGCCAAGCTCTCTACAAACTACGTTAGCAGCGTTACGGTCCCAGTTGTCATGGCAGACGGTCCCCCATTTACCATCGTAGAAAATTTCCACTCTGCCAGTAAACTTGTTGTGCGAAGAGGTGCTATTCATACGCACACTGCCATCCGTTATTGCTATCAATAAAATTAAATAAGATATATTTTGGATAAAAAAAAAATAATAATCGTAGAGGGAAGAAGGGCAAGCAAAAAAAAACCGGACCCCCACCCCCCTCGTTGGCTCAAGGTCTGCATCCGCCACTGATACTCTTAAAAAAACAAAGACTGTACTTGAATCACAAAAACCAATTCTTGTGCCCCTTAAGCCACTGTACATTTCTCTATTCGCTAAGAGCGAAAATTATGTTTTAAATCCACGCAGAATACACCACATAGCATGTATTTTGGTGGACAAGTTTATAACTTAGTCGAATACGGCGAATTCTTTGAAAGGTAAATTAAAAAAAGGATGTGAGTGAACTTTCAATGATAGGGTCAACTGAGGGACAGTAACTTATTCAGCAAAATCGAAAAAAACCTTACATGATAAAACAACAAAGCCAATATATGCATCAATTCTTTTCTAAAGGCTTGCCTATCACAAGTAAACTGGTATAATGTCCATTTAACGGCGTATCTCAATACCCATTCCTGATTAGAAAACTTCATAAAATAACGCCCCTATATATACACACCGCGCTTGGTTAACTCACGCTGTCTCTTCTCAGATAGTGACAGTAAACCGTACGCCTTGTTTTCGTTTATACAGGACCTCATTTAAACTAGCTTAAAGCTGAACTGGGTCAGCCAGCACAAATAATATACAATACATACGTACAACCTACCTCGATATTCTGCCAAAAATCCTCTATATTCTTTACTAGCATC